TCTACATGGAAAAGGGATAGTAAGAACATTGATTATAAGCATAGAAATCAAGAGATTAATGAGAAGCCTCAAGCTAAATTTGATAAAGGGGAGAGTTCTAGAACAGGGAAAGAAAAAGTAGAAAAGTCTAATGTTCGAAATAGAGATTTAAAGTGTTGGAGATGTCAAGGGGTAGGACACTATAGTAGAGATTGCCCAAATGCAAGAATTATGGCTATCAAGGAGAGAGAAATTGTTACGGATGACGAGGCACATGACGACATAAATGAGGAAACTGATGAGAGTGAGGAGTTTAGTGAAGAGGACCCTACACATATATCTTTGGTTACTCGATGAGCTCTAAACACCCACATTAAGGAGGACGGCCTAGACCAAAGGGAGAACTTGTTTCAAACTCGGTGTCTTGTTCAATCTGTACCTTATAGTGTTGTAATTGATAGTGGTAGTTGCACCAATGTTGTGAGTTCCATTCTGGTCAAAAGACTTAATTTAAAGACAACCACATCCAAGACCCTACAAGCTTCAATGGTTGAATGATTGTGGGGAAGTATGGGTAACTCAACAAACACTTGTTTCTTTTACTATTGGAAAATATGTTTCACTGTTTTATGTGATGTTGTATCCATGCATGTTGGAGATTTACTATTGGGGAGGCCTTGGCAATTTGATCGTCGGGTAATGTATGATGGGTATGCAAATCGATACTCTTTTACTCACAACGGTAGAAAAACTACTCTTATTCCATTGTCTCCAAAAGATGTATTTATTGATCATTCAAACTTGAAAAGAAAAGGCAAGAGGCTGATGCAAAAGCAGAGATTGAAAAAGAATCAAGTGAAAAAAAGAGCTTGAGGGAAAAGCAAGAGAATAACACTCAGCCTAGAGAAAAACCAAACCAGTAAGCTTGTATGTTAGATCAAGTAAGGCTAGGAATGTTTTGCTCTCTAACCAGATTATTCTTGTACTTATGTGCAAGGGATCTTGTTACTTTACTAACATGCTTAACCCTTTTTTGCCTAGTGATTTTGTTGTGCTTTTGCAAGAGTTTGAAGATTTATTTTCCGAGGAGAAGCCTAGTAGTTTGCCACCACTCAGAGGGATTGAACACAAGATTGACTTCATTCCTGGCGCGCCAATTCCAAACCGACCAGCCTATAGGACTAATCCAAAGGAGGCTGAAGAGATATAAAGGCAATTAAGTGAACTCCTTGCTAAAGGGGCTATAAACAAGATAACTATAAAGTATATGTATCCAACTTATGACAAAGAGCTTTATGCTTTGGTTCGTGCATTGCAAACCTGGCAACATTATATTTGGCCTAAGGAGTTCATTATTCATACGAATCATGAAATTTTAAAGCATTTGAGAGTACAAAATAAACTCAACAGACGACATGCTAAGTGGTTAGAATTTATTGAAACATTCCCTTATGTCATAAAATATAAACAAGGTAAGGAGAACATTGTTGCAGATGCATTATCACGAAGGTATGTCCTCCTCAATACTTTGAATGCTAGGTTGTTGGGTTTTGAACACATAAAGGATTTGTATCAACATGACATGTTCTTTGCTCCTTTTGTTGAATCTTGTGAAAAAGGAATCATTGTGGATAATTACTTGTTGTTAGATGAACTTTTGTTCCGAAAAGGCAAACTTTGCATACCATCTTGTTCCATCCGTGATACTTATGAGGGAAGCTCATGGAGGTGGTTTAATGGCACACCATGGAGTTTTTAAAACTTATGATATGCTCTCTAAACAATTTTTTTGGCCTAAAATGAGACATGATGTTCATAAAGTTTGTGCTCGTTGCATAGCATGTAAACAAGCTAAGTCTAGGCTTCAACCACATGGTTTATACTCCCCATTACCGGTTCCTAATGGTCCTTTTATTGATATATCAATGGATTTTGTTTTAGGTTTACCTAGGACTAGGAAAGGTTATGATAGCATCTTTGTTGTGGTTGATCGATTTAGTAAAATGGCTCATTTTATTTCTTGTCACAAAACTGAAGATGTAAAACATATTGCAGACTTGTTCTTTAGGGAAGTTGTACGATTGCATGGCATTCCTTAAAACATCGTTAGTGATCGTGGTGTAAAATTTTAAGCCACTTTTGACATGTTTTATGGGGTAAGTTAGGAACTAAGCTAGTACATTCAACTACTTGTCATCCTCAAACAAATGGACAAACTGAAGTTGTTAACAGAACCATGACTGCTATGCTTAGGGCTATTATTGATAAGAATCTTAAGACTTGGGAGGATTGTTTGTCCTTTATAGAATTTGCATATAATAGAGTTGTTCATAGCACTACTAAATGCACACCTTTTGAAATTGTTTATGACTTTAATCCTTTAACCCCCATTGACTTGTTACCCATACCGTCAAAAGAGTTTGTGAATTTTGATGCAAATGCCAAGGTTGAGTTTGTTCCTAAACTACACAAGCAAGTGAAAGAACAAATTGAGAAACAAAATTTCAAGGTTGCCACCCGAATTAATAAAGGACGTAAGATTGTCATCTTCAAGCCAGGAGATTGGGTTTGGGTGCATTTTCGAAAAGAAAGATTTCCTACTCAAAGAAAATCTAAGCTTTTACCACGAGGAGATCCACCTTTTCAAGTTCTTGAGCGTATCAACGACAATGCTTATAAAATTGATTTACCAGGTAAGTACGATGTTAGTACAACTTTTAATGTTGTTGATTTGAGTCCTTTTGATGTAGGTGATGGCTTTGATTCGAGGACGAATCTTTCTCAAGAGGGGGAGAATGATATGAACCACGACCAAGGAATTTCCATACCTCAAGGTCCAATTACAAGGACGAGAGCTAAGAAGCTACAACAAACCTTATACAATTATATTCAAGCTATGGTGAGCTCATCAAAGGAAATTCTAGAAGACGCTGAAAACCTCCCTTATATGTTGTGCAAAGTTGAACTTCAAAAAAGAGATGAATTAAATGCACTTTAAGTTGCATTTAATGAACTCCGCTGAATTTATGAAACTAGTCCAAGGATGAGTCAATAAGCACATTTTATTAATTGCATTATTTAATTATAGTTTAACTATTTGTTTGTCTTAAGCTAGTTTTAAATATAGAAGTTAAGGTTATATTGTAACCACATAGGTTACTATATTCCACCATTAACTAGCCATTTTAACATGGAGGTTATGAGTATTTTTCATTTAGTAGCCCATTTAATTTGGGAGTTATATATCACATAGGTTAAGGTTGTAAGGGCTATATAAAGCCTTCTTTTCTTTGATTAGATCACATTTTGGAATTAAGAATAGAATTTCTATTTTAGCTTTGTTGAGAGCTAAACTTTCTTTGCAAATTCTTGTGTTTAGAACTTGCATGTAGAGTCATTCAAGTGGTATTGATCAAACCTCTTGTAGAGTGATTCGAATCACGAGTTTAGAAACGAGTTTTCTTTACTCTTGATCTTGACCATCAAGATAATCGGTTCTAAACTTTCCCTTGGGTTGATTTTCCATATCACATGATATCTAGCCTATGTCTTTTTTATAGGGCATTCGTAACTATTAACTTGTTCTATCATGTTTACATAAATCGTGAAATAGTCCCTACTACAAGATCCTATCTTAAAATATAAGGGTAGAGTTCACCGTTTGTAACCATGAGGCACACAACTTTGTTTTACCAATTAAATTCAATTGTGAACACACCAAAAACTGTTCACGCATAAGTTAACTTCATACAATACTTATTTTATCATTCATGTTGTAAAATATTAGAGGAAAGTACTCACGGATATAATCACATGCTTAATAGATCAAATTCAGCAGCTCAGCTCAGTTCAATAAAGACATAAATAATAGTTAGTTTATTTTATCATGCTAATTCAATTGAAGGAGAATCTTAAATTGTGATTTAATGTCCTAGGTTTGTTATGTTTCTGTCCAAGTCAATTCTTACCAATAATCTTGAAAAAAAAAATGGAAATGAATATTTAATGCTTGAAAAAGTTCATAATTAGATCCTAATTTATGTTTAAAAAAATCCCTAGAAAAAGGATTAAAAAGACATTTATAATGGTAAAAAATGAACTAAGACACTAAGGAGTCGAAGGGATCTTGTTTAGATGAACCATAAATGGTTAGAACCAACCACGTGATCATCTTTTCACTGTGTAAAAGGTTTTTGGCACCAAATGGAGGAGATGGATTCGTGGGTGTGTATATCTTCGGCCAATTACTCAATCCCATCAATGGGAAACCTAGGAAAAAAGGTCATAGTGCTCGTGTCTCCATCAAGGGGACCCACTGTACCAGCGGGGCCGAGAACACCATGAGATTTGGAGATGAGATATTTTTAGGAGTTTAAGTGGTTTTAAGTTATAATTGAGTATGACCTTATATAGATTTATTTTTGAATTCAAAGGTTTATTTTTGGAGATAGGTTATTTTGGATTTATGAATTTTTGTGAAAGACTTTGTTTTGTTTACAAGGTTATTTATGATGAGCTTCCGCATAATTTATGTTTGCATGGTGTGACGTCACTAATTAGGTTTAGAAAATTAGTGGCGTTACACATTAACTTCCAACCATCGCTCTTTCTCCAATAATTTTCACCATTTCTTCAACAAATTTGTTCTAATTATTGATGGTTTGTTGAAAAATTTCTTAAATTGACAATCAAAATATTCAAGTGAAAAGGATGAAACTATATAATATAATAAAAATCAACCCTAAACCAAGAAATGGGAGTAAGATTATATTAAAGGAAAATAGAAATATGTTTTTAAATTTAAAAACAAAATCTATTACAAACTTTCTTTTTAATTAAGAATAAAAAACAATAAAATATAAATATAGGTTTGATTGAAAATAAATGATAAAAGTGTAATGAAGATTAAATTAATTTTTTCTAAATAAAAGAAAAAAAAAAAGTGCCAAATTCGGGAAGAAAGAAGAGACGAAGACCCCTAGGGTAGGTTACTCTCGTGAACCCAACCCTCTCTCCTCCCTCCAAATTCATCTTTACTTATTCTCTTCTTTTTCAGATTTCGGTAACCTTTCTTGCCGTAAATCATGATTATCCATGGGAATCACAGTCTAGTCTAGTCGGAGGTTGGCTCTTTTTACGACTTCTCCTAACTATAAAAGTTTCATTAAAAATATTCTAGGTATATGTATGTCTATTTTTAATGTTTTGATGATGGAATTGTTTCACATTTCTTTCCTACATTGACGTGTTTGGTGGGCATTTTCTTTGTACTTGGAAGCTGTTGCCATATACCCTCAGCTTGTACTTCTACAACGAACGAAGAATATCGACAATTTCATCGGGGTATGATATCACTACTTATCATTGATGTGATAGCTCTTGAATCCACTGCTTAGTTCCCTCATTTTCTTGTTTTTTTTTTTCTTTTTTTCTTTTTTTTTGTATGTACCTCTTGTTTAGAACTATGCCATTCACAAGCACGTTACCATTAATACAATTTTATGCTTGCTTTCTCTCTATCTGTCAATACATGGTGTCTGAATTTAGGTGTCGCCTATAAGTCTTAACACTTATTGTGAATTCAAATCCATGGAGTAGGAGCAAATTTCATCCAAGTTCCCATTTTTTCCTTGGTATAGTACCTCGATTGTAACCGCCCAAGCCCACCCGTAGCTGTTATTATCTCTTTGGACTTTTTCTTTGAGGCTTTCTTCAAAGTTTTTAAAACGCGTTTGCTAGGGAGAGATTTCCACACCCTTATCAAGAATGCTTCTTTCCCCCTCTCCAACTGATGTGGGATCTCTCATCGATTATCTTAGATTATATGCCAATAGAGAGTTGTAAGATGTCTATCTTTTGAATGGTTGGGAGACTGCAAGCCTTTCACTTTAAGAGGTTAAGATGTCTTTCAATAATTCCCTCTCTGCTGACTTCCTCGGCCTTCCTATTTCCTACTCATGCTAGAAATAGTAATGGAGTGGAGGTGCCAGAGCATGGCCTGTGAAAAGATAAGCACTATTAACTGTTTAGAGCAAAGAAATCTACCCGTTTTCATTGTTTATATACATACAATTAGATTTATATCATATTCTAACTAGAAACAGCACCTGGATGAATAAGTGTTTGAAAATGATCCAATTCTCTAATCAAGTATATCAGATTGACCCTAGGAGATAGTCTGAAGACAAGCAATTTCTTTTAGGAAGGTTGCTATACTCCTATTTGAATACGAACTGAACATCTGAATTCGTGAAAAAATTTAGTTAGTGCACTATCTAAGTTGATAGTTTTAATAGGTGTTGATAGTTTTGCAGAATGGACAAGCCTATTTTCTTTACCTGGTTTGTTAAATTTGGGTTATACACAAAATGTTTCTCTCTCTTTTATGAACATGTAGTAGCTTTTATTAGGCCATCTGTTTTCTACTTCTTTGACTCGGTTATGTTAACCTCATAACGTTATGAACAAAAAACCTTATTGCATCCTAATTTTCTTGATGCAGTGCGTACGGAGCTTTGTACATTGTCAACTGGATCTACCGATACTTTATTGAGACTCATTTTGTCCACTAGATAAGTAAGTCATCTCCTTCCTCGCCCTCTGTTATGTCTTAAAACTGCTTTTAGTCATATTAGATATCAGAGTACCTTGATTTGAAACAATAATTAGGATTTAGAACCTTTAACGCAACAAGTTTTTCTTTTAAATTTTTTGACGGAACATCAAAATACTTATGAAAGCTTATAACCAGAATTCATAATTTTCTGCCTCCTAATTGTGCACCATATTCATTTGTTATAATAGTCCACTTAGCTTTCACGTACTTGAATAATCTTTTGCGTTTACTTCTTGCTATCCATTATGCTAAAATTAACGTTGGAGCATTCAACCTGATGTGTCGCAACATGTTGGAATTATCGACGAATGTTGGAATTATTGACGAATGTTGGAGTTGTACCTTTCATAGATTCTCCTACCAAGTCGGCTTATTTTTCGAAAGATTTCCATATGTTATATAGCCTTTAGTTCATGGAGATATATTATGAAATGCTTGTTATCCTCACGTTAGTTCAAAAGGGTGGCACATAATCACCTTGAGAAAAATTGTGTTGCTACATGTGATTGGAGACATTGGGTAACTTCCTAACACTCTTTGTGAAATTGCAGCTTGGATTTCAGGGCTCATGCAGACGCTACTTTACGCAGAATTTTTCTATTATTATTTCCAGAGGTGACCAAAATCTTTTGCTTCATATATGATCCCAGTGGGGATTTCTTTTTTGAATTTTGCCATGACATTTACTTTTAGAACTTTTAATCTCTGCAGTGGGAAGAACAACCAGAAACTCCAGTTGCTAACCTAAGATCTCGAAAGGATATATATAAAGGAGAAGTCACTTTCACTTAAATGTGAGTTGTATTTGCCTTTTAGTTCTCAGCTATCACAAAATCCTAATCCTGATCTTTCTCGAACCCCTCTGAACGCGTGTTCTTTGATTGTTTAGACGGTTTTTGAGCATGCCGGTCCTTTTCATTGCTACCAAATTCGTAGAGAATACATGCCTGTAAGTTTGTGCTGTAAAGATTCTCCATCTCCATCCACAAACCTATCTTAGTAATTTTAAAACATTATTTAGAAATTTTGTTGATATCTTCGAGTGGTTTAGATAAAGTTGTTGTTCAAGGACGTTATTAGATACGAAGAGAATACTTATATACAACAAAGAATAATGATGAATATTTGTGGTAGGAATCAGTAGATGCACCCGAATATCTCAACTAGGTTGACATATCCTTATAGCACCCTCATCATTTGTTTCATCCCAATACTGAGCCTTCTTTGGTGGTCATATCTGACATAAAAAACTCGAAATTAAGCCCAAGCAAGTAAGGCATATTAACGATACCTTGGTTCATCTCATGTATGGAAACAACATCACTATTGGCTTGGTTAGTTCTTAGATCTGCTTCATCTAATGCATGCAAAGCACATTAGTAGTGTCTTGGTTACTAGTCATCTCAGGCTCACAAGGTGTCGATGGTGCAATGACCCTTTGCTCTTTAGGCTGCAACACAGAATTACATAGTTCCTTTGCTTTTATTTTAGATCTTTCATTGTTGTCCATATCATTACTTTTTTATGCTAATCCTCTCTTCTTCATAGATTGAGGTTCTCTCTTCAGCTTAGTAAAGAAATAAAGATTTTGGCCATCAACGCCTCCAAAAAAATTTCCAAATATCCCAAGGTTCTACAGTGTAGTAGAGATCGCAGTGAAAACTACTCTAGAAGAATATTTGAGGCCATGAATGTAAACATAATGTTGGAGAAGAATCTGATTGGTAGGCATGAACTTAAATCCAACGTTTTTATAGAATCCATCGACATTACTGAAGGTTTCTGAAAAAAAAAAACATGGAATTGTTTGTTCAAAGAATTTCAATAAAATTGTGGAGAGATTATTATATAATATAATTTCAAAGTTCTTATAAAATCGTTTCGAGTAAATGAGTAAATTATCTTACTTTACATAGATATGATCTATTCTACGTTTAACACCCCCTCAATGGGACGATGTACTACTAAGTTCAGATTGCACCTAAAACTGCTAAAAGTAGGAGCTGGCACTGGCTTTGTCATGATATGGGCGAGCTGATCCTTGGAAGATATGAGTCGCACATCAAGCAGACGAGTCGATACTTGTTCACGAACGAAATGATAATCAACCTCAACATGCTTCGTCCGTCGATGAAAGATTGGATTGGTGGACAGATAGGTGGCACCAATGTTGTCACACCACAGGCTGGGCGCTCACGCTTGCGAGATCCCAAGCTTACACCAGAGAACTGGATCCAGATTAATTCGGCGGTGGCATCAGCAACCGCCTTATATTTGGCCTCCGTACTAGAACGAGAAACTGTCGATTGTTTCCTTGAACTCCAGGAGATAAGATTACCACCAAAGAAGATCGCATAGCTTCCCGTGCTTCGATGATCATCAGGATTCTTGGCTCAATCAGCATTGGAAAAGGTACTCAGCAAATCAGTGTTGGACTTTGTAAGATACAAGCACATATCAATAGTGTCATGTTAATAACAGAGAATTCTTTTGATTGCTGCTGAATGTATAGAAGTCAGAGAGGACATGAACTGACACACTCTATTGACACAGAAGGATACAGGATGTGTCAGAGACAAATATTGGAGAGCACCAACGACACTCCAATAGAGATTAGTATCCTCTGGCGAGAGCTTTTCACCACCATCCATGAGAGGAAATTTTTAGGATTAAACTCTTCTTTTATGGGTCCCAAAACCGATATTTGAAATTCCAATTTGATCGGCCAATCCACTGTATTTCAATTCAAGTCATTTATAAAAATGCTGCAATCACAATATAAATCACAATATAACTTAGGACCAAGAATTTGTCAAGTATTTCAGGAAGGTTAATAGTTCATTTCTTTGTTCATAAGATTGAGCCCGTAACTCCCCTATCTAACTCAAGAGAAGTCTTAGCCTGCCGAATTATTAAAATAAAATCCAAAAAATAACAAGAAAAATATAGTAGATTGCCACAAGTCTCAAGGGGAAGTATTATTAACAAAGTGGGTCTTTATGTTCAACTTCAATTATTTTCAAAATAGTGAGAAGGAAACATGACAATATATCATATACTCTCAATCATTGGTTTATAAAGTGAGATCCATATTGAAGCTCGTGGTAGCTTTTAGACCGTCTTCCTATGAAAGTTATTTGCATGGGTAAATATTAAGTGAAACTCTTGAAAAAGATTGATTGCAATTTTACCCTACGATTTATTTATTTGGATAAACTATGGTATTTAAAATAATGGGTCACGATTAGAAAAGATTTATTAAGATTGGTAATAATGTCCTTGACCAAACTAATAGTTACTAAAACAATTATAGGAATAAGAGTTATTCTAGTATAATATTTCATTGAGATTGTCTCATTTAGTGAAATACTTGGCCGATACCACGACTGCAATTGTTTTAAATCACTAAATACCATACCATAAGAAAACATTTATTGGGTTTCAAATTTTGTCACAGTTGTTAGATTTATATGATAGAATTGGTAAATAATTTATAAGTCCTAAGAGAATTTTTATTATCCTTTAAGTAACGTTAAGCCAAAATTAGATTTGCCTATGCTAAGCAACTAGAAAGTTTGATAAGTGCCAACAATGCTGGATTTTGCAAACCTAGAGATCCTTCTAGAATTCTTGCAAACGTTCACAAAGAAAGCTAACTTAACGAATTGATTCCAACCAAGAGCTGGTTAGAAGATGAATGTCTCTTAGATTGAACTTGGAATCCATGATAGTCACTCTTAGATTCCAAGACGATTCACTCCAGAATTAGCTAGATCAAAACTAATTCAATGAATCGGTTTAAGCATCAAACCTAAAGCAAGGTTTGAAAAATAATAACACAAAAAAGGTATCAACAAAACACGAAGGTTTTGTTTGTATTCAACAATGATGCTCAAGCATGAATATTATATGCCTTCAAATAGGCCAACAAGATAACCTAAACATAATGAAGTTCATCTACCAACTACAAATTACAACTACCAATAAAACTAGTAAATAAAAATTGAAGAAAATAAGACATACATGAATTGTCTTAATTGGTAGTTCAACTACCAAAGGCAAAGTCTTCTAATCACTTTCCAATGTCAGGCACTCCATTATTTTTTTGATTTGATATGTTAATGTTATAAAGATTTTTGGGCTCAAAAGTCTTTGTTTCAACTTGTACACTACCGACAATGAGTAGGCGAATGAGCGAAGCCGAGGAAAAGGTTCAGTAGCTTTTTCGGTTTCTTCTTCTTTTACAGTTCAGGTTCCGGAGCTAATATTTCTTTCATTTGTTTCGTCTTTCAAGCAGAATCAAAGGAAAGCAAAGAGAAGAGACCGGCCATATATATATCCTGTTCAGTTCGTAAACTCTCATCTTGTCTTGCTTGAGCTAGCCTTTGAAGATGCCTCTTGAATCTTCTTAACCTTGCTTCTTGTAATTGGTCCTTCGGGTATATGCAGCGGGTCAGTAGTTGAATTCATATCATCCTCTCTTTCTTTAAAAGGATTTGTCCTCAAATCAAGGTCTTCATTCCCTACATCAAATGGTCAGTCACAGTAAAAGTAGAACTTACATTATACTCACCTCTAAAATCTAGCTTGTATGCATTGTCATTGATCCGCTCTAGTACTTGGAAAATACCATCTCCTCTTGGTTGAAGTTTAGACTTTCTATCATTTGGAAACCTTTCCTTTCGAAGATGAACCTAAACCCAGTCACCTTGTTTAGAAATCAATTTCTTTCTTCCTTGGTTCTTGCGCGTGACTAGTTTTTTATTTTTGTTTCCAATTCTTTCTTTTATGTCTGTGAATTTTTTTTTATGTATTCGGCTGTTGAAGAAGTGCATCATTAGCAAACATATTAGGTGGCAAAGCTGATAAATCTAAAGGAGTTAAAGGATTAAATCCATACACAAACTTAAAAGGTGAACAATGAATGGTGCTATGTATTGCTCTATTGTATGCAAATTCCACAAAAAGTAGAGTCTTTTCCCAAGACTTAAGATTTTTGGAAATTAGTGACCTAAATAAGGCTTCTAATGTTTTATTAACAACCTTAGTTTGTCCATCAGTTTGGGCCGTAGAAAATAGAAGCTTAGTTCCCAACTTTCCCCACAAAACTTTCTAAAAATGGCTTAAAAATTTTACATCCCCATCACTAACAATGGTTTTGGGAATACCATGCAATCTAACTACTTCCCTAAATAATAGATTAGCTATGTTGGTAGCATCATTTGTTTTGTTACATAGAATGAAATGTGTATCTTACTAAACCTATCAATTACCACAAAAATGTTATCATGGTGTCTTCTGGTCTTCGGTAATCCTAGAACAAAATCCATGTTGATGTCAATCCATGGTTCACTAGAAAAACCTAACGGTGTGTAAAGACCCTGCGATTGTGTCTTAGACTTAGCCTCCTTACATTTAAAACATTGCTTGCATACTTTGTTCACATCTTTCCACATTTTCAACCAATAAAAATTTTACACAACATGCTATATGTTTTAAATTCTCCAAAATGTCCCGTAAGTCCTTCCCCATGAGCTTACAAGACTTAGCCTCCTTATTCTATTAACTTTGACTCTATTTGAGAGATTATAAGACACTCGTAGAATATTACTAATTTGTATTTCTTGTATTTATGTCTTGTGATCATAACCTAGGTTGAATGGTATTTATAATGGAGGTAGAAAATTTATTCCTAAAATTTCTCAATCTTTTTCATAAAATAACTCATCATTCTCCTAAATTTATTCCTAAAACTCCTCCATCATTTTCCTAAATTTATTTCTATCATCCTAAATTATTTTCCTTAATTTATTCCTAAAATTTATAAATCACTTTCTTAAGATAAATATACAATGACTCATTCAATTGTTGAGGTTAACCCTATCCCGCTATTGTACTTAACCCTATTCGATTAGTGAGGCTTCTTTGCAGTTTTCATGTATTCACTAATGACTCTAACTCCTTTTT